TTTCCACTAGTGGGTCTGGAAATTGTATTGTCTGAACTCATTCCCTTCAATTTGAACCATTTCTGCCTAATTCCTGAATCCTCGGTGGTTAAAGCTCCTACTTAAGTTAATTTAGGTCAAGAGAACTACTCATTGGCCCATGCCCCAATATGCGCTAAAGCCTCCAGAACCCCCAAAAGCCTGAGATTTCTGATGGTTCTAGATTCAAGAACTTTATTGTTCAGACTTTCCACTCCTCTTGGCTGGCCTCTCTGGTTAATTAGAGCTCCCCTCAAGCAGTCATCAAAATGTAGCTCTCTGTGTGCCGATGAGGGAAAGCACATTGCCAACATAAATGTGAGAGTCCCACACTTCCCGGCACTCACACATGTGGGGTAGGAACATCCTAAATGGAATTCTGGAGGGGGAATTCTGGAAAGTGGAATTTGAGTGGAGGGGACTGTTTCTTACTCTGCAGCACAGGCCTGCTAAGGGAGGAAACAAAAAGGTAATCTCAGACCAACACAAGAAAGAGAAAGAGGCTGAGCTGAGTTGGGAGCCACCGTCTCAAAATGTAGTAAGGACCGAGAAGAATGACGGCCCCCAAGTGAGCAGAGATCCCTGTGAACACAACTCAGCCCCTCTCCCAGCCCCGCATTCCATTGTTCCCTCAAGCCATTTCCCAAGAAACCCTGCTCTTCCAGGGAAGTGCTGTTAGCCCAGGCCACCTGGGTGGTGGAGCGCAGAGCTAGCTCTCTTTGGAAAATGCCCTTCAGTCAAAGTTAAGATGAAAGGCAACATCAAAATATGACGTGATGGTTATTGAACAATATTTATTCAACACATATTTGTCGAGAGCCCACATGCTCAACCACACACACACTTCAGAAAGAATACACAAAACTCCATTAAAAATGATTGCTTTCAGTTCAGGGATATCAATAGTGGAAAATGATAGAATGTGGCTTTTCATTTTATATTCCTTATATTCTTTACTATATATCATGCACCGAGCACCGAGGAAGGCAGCAGGACGTCACGGTGAGCCTCACAGTCCCTGTCCTCCCAGAGCTCAGAGCAGGGGAGGACTCTTCCTCCACTAACCAGATAATCACAGGGCACGGGAGATAAACTATGAGCCTTGTCTGCAAGAACATTCAGGAAGCACAGGGAAGCCAACAGTGGGCAGGGCTGCGTGGCCAGGGTGTGATTTCTGAGGGAAGGACAGTTGAGTGCTGACCTAAACAGGGAGTAGGACTTGGAAGGGTGAAGGGAGGTTGGGCGGCGGGGTAGTTCAGAAGCTGGAGCCCAGAGAGCAAACAGAAGCAGACGGGGTAGAGCTGTGCGAGGAGACCAGTGTGAGCCCGGGGGCCGCGCCTGTGCTCAGCTCCTTGGAGGGCAGTCACATGAGCCTGGGTGCTGACGAACCGGCAGAAGCAGAGTCAGGTGACAGCTCTTCAGAGGCCCGGGGCACTTGCATAACCCGTGATCCCCCACCCAGCTGAACAACTGCAAAGCCAGAATGCTTCCAAAAACGGGTTTATCTCCTCAATTTTTCAGATTTATTGGAATAAAAAAAAGGCATTCAATATCTGATGAAAACATATTTTCTTATAATTTGCAAGTAGTTTAGTGGACATGGCTAAGATTTGGGGCAATATTTTGCATGTGTTCTGTTTCCTGAATGGTTATCTCAAAAATCTAGACACCCTTGTTAGCCCAATGCCATACTGGCCCAGAGGGTTGAGATAGAGAGAGGGGAACGGGTTTTAACCACTGCCTGCCAGAGCCCTGGAGCACCCAGGAGGGGAGTGGATGTGAACTGTGGCCTTTTCAGCACTAATCCTGGACTCTGGGATGGCAAAGGAAACTCTGTGAGGCTCCCTGGGGGGCCAGAAACCATCTCTTCCCCAGGGTCCCCTATCCATGTACAGAGAAGAGGCTAAGCCCAAGGCCACCCCTCAATGGGACTTGCCTGCCCAGTTACCTTTGGAATTGGGGGACACCCAGACAGTGAAATTAAAGGGTGCTTCTCTGAAGCCCATCTTCCATGGTGAGCTTCCTGCTGGCATGGCTAAGTGAACCATCCTTTCCTCCCTCTCATGCCAGCCACGAAGTCTCCAGACCTCCACCATTAAGACAAGAAAGTAGGGGGAGGGGCCTCTTCTGACCTCTAGTGTCCACCCACCAACCCAGACTTGAGCAGTGTGACTTGTGAGGCTCAGGGCTGAAGAGATGGCTGCCTCTGACTCACTGTGTGATCTTGGGTAAACTCCATCCCACTCTCTGGGCATCAGTTTCCTCAGTTTCCCCCCTTAGATAGTGAACAAGGAAGGGTAGGTCTCAGGGCAGGGGAAAATGAGAGGACGGTAGAGGGTACCACCAACCGGCACATCAGGGAGCCCTGAGAAGCTGGGGAGGCAGGAATACAAAGACATAAAATCTATTCTCTGCTACCATTTGACATTGTTTATGAAATTTTATTTTTGATTATTTTTATTTTTTTTGAGCTGGAGTCTTGCCCTGTCACCCAAGCTGGAGTGCAGTGGTGCTATCTCAGCTCACTGCAACCTCCACCTGCTGGGCTCAAGTGATTCTCCTGCCTCAGCCTCCCAAGTAGCTGGGACTATTGGCATGCACCACCACACCCAGCTAAGTTTTGTATTTTTAATAGAGACAGGGTGTCACCATCTTGGCCAGGCTGGTATCGAACTCCTGACCTCAAGTAATCCACCTGCCTCACCTCCCAAAGTGCTGAGATTACAGGCATGAGCCACCATACCCAGCCTTATGAAATTTTAAATATGTATGCCTCTCCTCCAAAAATACATATTAATTATAGAGGGGAAGGGAGTAACTTGCCCATGGAGATGGCTGGAAGACAGCACCTTAGGCCAGGGATCCCAGCCAGCAGTAAGGACACATACTGCATCCATGCACCAGCTGACAGGTCGTAGGAGAGGACCCAGCCTCAATTGCGCAAGATTCTCCCAACGACGCAAAACCTGAGTATAATCACAGGAAACAACAGACCAGCCCAAATCTAGGGACAGTCTAAAAATTAAGTGGCCTAATATTTAAATGTAGCAAAGCCATTGAAAGTCAAAAACAGAGGAACTGATCCGATTTGAAGGAGTGTTAGAAATGACAACCAAACAGGACATGTGATTCTGAACTGGATCCTTTGGCAACAAAAAATTATAAAGACAACTGGCAACATTTGAAAGGACTCTGATGATTAGATGATAGCAATGTATCGTTTACAGATGTTGAGGTTGGATTGCAGTTTAATAGACGGTTGTCCTTGTTTGTATAAAATACGCTAAACACTCATGTCAGCAACTTCAGCACAAATGGCTAGAGCAAGGGAGGGTTCTTTGTGTCACACTTGAAACTTTCTGTAATTTTGAGATCATTTAATCATTTAAAATGTTTATGATTTTAGAATTTTCTCTTAAAATTGTATACATCCTTTGACTCAGAAAATCCAAATCTGTAGGCTTTTAGTCTACAGATACATCAGTATGTATGAACAATATTTATGTGTCATCCTAGGTATGATAGCTGTCAATATTAAGAATTATCTAGAATGGTATTTATGGCAGAATCGTTTAAATAGCAAAACGTCAGAAATTAACTGTCTGTCATAGAAGACTGGTGAGTAATTACGGTAACTCACACAGTGGATGCTCTGCAACCACTAAAAAGGATGAAGTGGATCAACAGGAGCAGTAATGAATATTTACCAAGCACCCGCCACGTGGTAGGTCGCACTTCAGCTTCAGGGATATTGACTCACAGCCCCCTTATTGTGTAACTGCCATTCCCATTCCCATTGAAGAGAAGAGAGAAAAGAGCCGGAAGAAGGTTGAGTAACAGGTGCAAGATGACACAGCTTGTGGGCCACGCTCCTAGCTGGAATTGTGACTGTTGCAGTGGGTTTGAGCCCACATGCTCAACCACACACACACACATACGCACACACTTACTTCGGAAAGAATACACAAAACTCCATTAATAACGATTGCTTTCGTCAGGGATATTGATAGTGGAAAATGAGAGAATGTGGCTTTTCATTTTATATTCCTTATATTCTTTACTATATATCATATATCACCATGTGTCAGTTGTATATTTTTTAAACCACTAGTTCAAACAAATAAGCACTAAAGTATTAAACACTTTTTTAAAAACTTCTGCCCTTAAGAAATGTAAGTCCCCACATCAGCTCGTAAGGGATTTATTAATCTTACAAGCCATATAGTCAGGTTTATGGCAAGGAGGTACAGCGATGAAAAACATAACGCGGGACCGAATGGGATGTGGAAATGCTGGCTTCAGTGTAAGCGTCATCCCATCCCAGGGTCCACACTCACTCATGGATGGTATTTGGTGAGAGCACCTGTCCCAAGGAAGCCCAGGGATCGGAAACACCCCGATTCACCTCCAGTGTTCCCCGGGCCTCAGCAGGCAACCACATTCTTTTCTGTTCTTTTGCAGCCTTTTGAAAGCTGTTTACAAATAATCTAATGTGATATCACAACAATCCTCTAAGGTTGTTTCCTCTTCTGTTAAATGGTGATAGTAACATTTGTTCACCTAATAGCTTTATTTATTTTCCTATCCCGCTTTTGCAGATACAAAGACTGAATTGCAAAAGCAGTTCCTGGAGCAGAGAATGTAGGTTTTTAAATGACAAGTGAGAGGGAAGGGAAGGGAGAACGTTCTGAAGCGCCCGGTCCTGGAGGATGAAGGAGGGCAATTCTCCAGTGTCCGTGGGAACTCAGAAAGACAAGCTGCCCGGGCGGACAGGAGACCCCGCTGGCCTTGGGACTCGCTGAGTTTGCGGCGCCCATGAGCTGGCCCTGGAGTCCAGGAGTAGGGCGCAGAGGCGCGGAGCTCCCAGGCGTTCCCCGCAGCGCGTCCTAAGTCCTGGAACCGCCGCACCGCGCCTCGCGTCCTGGTTTCCACACCTGCCCCATCTGCCCGCGGAGCTTGGCTTTTCTTGGCAGGCGGGGCTGCCCACGGCTGCGGGGCCCTCCTGGCAGAATCCAAGGGGTGAGGGGCACTCGGTCTGCAGCAGAAAGCCCTGGGCTTAAAGTCCCATTTATTAGTTGGCGTTGCCACTTACTGGTCGGTGGCTTTGGTAGGGCGCGTTTCTGAGCCTCAGTTTCCCCATCTGTAAAGCCGAAGTAAATAGCGCTCTCCCTGCGGAATTAGAAATTTCGACGACGTGCTGCACGCTCAGCAAGCGGCTCCTACCCGGCCCAGAGCAGGACCTCGGCGCCAAGTCACCCGCAGAGTCGCCGCAACTCAAGCGAATCGCAGCTGTGTGGTCAACCTTCCCCTCCCCGCCGCCGTCTTTCTCCCCAGACTGGCTTGGGGACGAGTATCCAGGGCTCTCCCTGGCAGGGGCACCTCCAGCGCGGGCGCCCCAGGTGTCCGCCCCGCCCTCGGCCCTGCCGGGCGTCCGACGGGCCTGTGCTCCCGGAGCTGGGCGGGGCGCAGCCCATGTGGTTCGGGCGGGAGGCGCCGGGACCTGGCCAGTGGCCCGTCTGCCCGGGAGAGCCTGGCGCGAGCCAGCCGCCCTGCTCCCCGCGCGCTACTTGGCCCCATCATCCAACCTTGCCTCGGCGCCCGGACCTGACGCCGCCCTGCTTCGTCGTCCCCCGGAGAGGGTCCGGTGAGTGCACCAGGAAAGGGGAACAGCGGGGCCAGGGTGGCGTCCATGACTGGGGCCTTAGGCTTTGGGGGGTGCGCGGTGTCCCACGTAGCGCCACGGGTGCGAAAACGCCCCCCAGCCGCCAGCCTCCAGGCCCTGGTCCAGGCTGGTGAGGAGAGCGCGTTCCCAGCCACCCAGCCTTAGTCCCCAGGCTTCACCTGGATTGTTTGAGCAGACTGGTCTGGGTGCGGGGACGGGTGGGAATGGGGTGGTGGGGAAACCCCATCTTGGGCAAAACGGTTGGTTTTAATCAGAAGCTCCACTGCCTTCATTGCGGGTCTGCCATGCAGACTGGGCCAAGGCTGCTGACGCCATGGATACTCGGGCTGGCCCCAGGGGAAAGGCGTCCTCCCCGCCCAGGAGCTGGTCTTGGGGTAAGGAAGAGGCCAGATGATCTTGGCATGGGAGGAGGCACCCGGCTTCCTCTGGGCGTCTGAAAGCCTGTTTCATTGGAATCAGCTTTTGATTGAGGACGGTCTCCCTGGGCCCGCCGGGCAGATGTGGGAAGGGTCTCTGAGCTGTGCGCACCTGTGGGCTTCATCCCCACTGGCCCCAAGTCCCCACAGGAACAGAATCTCACTTCTAAATCCCCGAAGATTCCACAGGCTTAGACACCGCATCCTACTGACACTAACTGGCACTGAAAACTCCACCTCGAGTTGGGGCCTTTACAGGTCCTTTTTTAGATGGTGTGATTGGTACCTTGTTCACATATTTCCTTCTGAGGGAGTGATGACAGTTGGGGAGAGAGCAAGGCCCCCAATAGGTGCACAGAACACCATTGCTGGTGGCTGTGAAGTCTCAGGAAAGGCTCCTGGACGTGCAGACCACGCTGCTGAGCAGTGACACTGGCGCCTCGCGTTCAGCTGGCCTGCATCTGTCCTAAGAAGCCCATCCCTCCACCTGCTCATTAGCGGGACTCAGCTGACCTCACCAAGGCCTCAGCCTTCCTGGGCCAGCCCCCTCCCTGCCCAGGTGCTTAGTATCTAAGCCGCAGTCATAGGTCACTGTGCCCCCCGGCCCTCACTCAGGCTCGGAGAACAGCAGCAGGTGCCTCACAGGATGGGACTGATTGAAGATACATTTAGAGAACATGGGACGGTGCCAGGCTCAGACATGGGGAGGTAGTGAGTCTTGCTGAGTATGGCATGAGTGACTCGGAAAAATTAAACCAACTGAATGTGTGTCCAGTGGGGGATGGGGGTGGTGGGAGGGTCCCAGAACCCTGCGGGCTAATGGGAAAAGTGAATTTGGTGCCTTTCAATGGCTCGAGTGAGCCCCAGTCTCAGTCACTGGGGCAGCCTTCTAGGGCCAACTGTCTTGTTCTTCTCAGAAGCAACCTCTGGAGGAACAGCCTTCCCCACTACCCCCACGCAATCACTCCTCTCAATTTCAACATCCTGGCATCATCCAGGTCTGGAGAGGGCCAGAGAGGTCCTGGAGCTCAGCCATTGTCCATGGAACAGATGGGGAAACTAAGACCCTGAGAGGAGGGGCAGCTGTCCCAGGAGGCCGGGCGGCTGTGCCTGAACTGGAATGGAACCCAGCTCTCACCTCTCAGCCCCATCCTCCTTCTCAGCCTCACCTGGGACCCGTCTTGCAGTAGAGACTAGCACTGAGGCTTTAGGTGCAAATGCAGGACTCACGTCCATTTATAAATGAAGTTTACCAACAACTCCCCAGAGAGCTGGGAGAACAGAGGGATGGCAGATCAGTGAGCAGGTGGTCAAGGGGCAGAACTCTCTCCCAGTACTGTTGCTGCTGGAGCCATTCCAGAGCCTTGTGGCTACAGCACAGATATGCCTGGTTTAACTGTAGGGAAGGGAGTGGCCCTTCTGGCTGGAAATGTGCCCATTTAGCCACTGATAAGGGCTGGGGTCAGTGCCTACTGACAGGTATAAGGTCCTGCCTACGGAAATAACCACACCGGCTGACCTGGACGGCAGCATTTGGGAAACAGCCACTAAGGATTAAGACAGAAGGCTCCACAGTTGTCACCTCTGCCACCACCCCCCTTATCAGCAAGAATAGCACCATACAGCACACCTTGGCTCTGAGTCAGAGAGCATCCCTGCTGTTGTTAGCGTGCCAGTTTCTGTTTGCCCAGGCGAGTGACCACCCACAATCACCATTGTTCCAAGGCTCCCCAGGCAGCCAGCCCAGGAGCTAGTTAAGCCAAGTCTTCATGCAGGAGGAACGCCACCCCACCCCGATTTCCCTTCAATTTGGCCAAAACATGAATTCAACTCTTTAATGGATAAAGATGACACGCCACTGGAATTCAGCAGTCTGGGCCAGGGATACCCGTCTTACAAAATCAGCTCCTCTCTCCCCTCCCTGCCTGTTAATCCCTTTGTCCCCTTCCACTGCCCCACTATGGCTATTAAACCACTGGGGAAGGCAGACTGTCTCCAGTGTTTAATATGATTGAATCTGAGCAGTGGAACAGACGCTAAGCGGAAGTGTTTTGTTCAGGAACCTCGTGAGTAGGTGTTATCTACACAGGAATGGAACAAGAAGCAGATAGAGCAGGGTGGCATCTACCCTCCCCCAGCACGTGCACTCTGGGAGCCCCACCCCTACCCCACCCAGCCAGGGCAGGCACAGAGCAGCCCTGCACCCCTCATGGGTCTAGCATGTTCTCTGTCCCCACCAGAGACACTCCAGCCCAAGTGACAGAGTGGGACCTTGTCTCAAAAAAAAAAAAGAAAAAGAAAAAGAAACGAAACCAAGATTTGAAAGGGGATAAAATGGAGGAGAAACAGATATCCAGGCAGCCTCTAGGACATCGGTTCTGATGTGCTGTGACCTTTTTATCCATCCATTTACTGGTCACAGACTGTGGTCTAAAAAGGTAAAGCTTGCAAGATTGACAAAAGCAGATTTTTCCTTTTGTTTTGCTTTTCTTCCTCACACATTATGATTTAAGTTTGTCAAACTGAAGTCTAGAATTTTGGCCTCCACTTGAGGAGAAGAGAGGGAATGATAATGCTTCAGCTGATGGTCACACTGTCCATCCATTCTGAAAATAGAACATCAATGAATGCTCTTATGATCCCATTTTTTTCAGAACTCCCAAAAAATAAAAATGAATGAACCTCAGTCATGCAGAGTCATATATCAAATAATAACTTTATGTTCCAATTTTTTTTTTTTTTTTTTTTCTGAGACGGAGTTTCGCTCTTGTTACCCAGGCTGGAGTGCAATGGCGCAATCTCGGCTCACCGCAACCTCCGCCTCCTGGGTTCAGGCAATTCTCCTGCCTCAGCCTCCTGTTCCAATTCTTTAGAAACCAGAAAGTGTGTGCTCTATGGAAGCATCGAAAATTAATTCTGTGGTAAGGGTTTCCTGACCAGACCTAGATCCAACTGTAAAGGAGCAGGGTTTGCTTGTCCCAGGGCACTGAGGCAATCTCTTCCTGTCGCAAACACTCATCTTTATGTTTAAGGGTGGAAATGCTGAGGAGTGGGTGCAAAAAATTCAACAAATTAGCCTTCTCCATTTTTATGGCATAAGCCAGGGACTACTTTGGTTGACTTCCATGAGAGCTCTGTGGACATTTTCATTTAAATAGTATCTGCCCAGAAAATGTCACTTTTCATAATTAATCTCTTGTGCAACAAAATCAAAGTACATCTCCAGCACAGGGGGAGTTTTGTTCGTAATTTTTTTTTTTTTTTTTGAGACGGAGTTTCACTCTTGTTACCCAGGCTGGAGTGCAATGGCGCAATCTCGGCTCATCACAACCTCCACCTCCTGGGTTCAGGCAATTCTCCTGCCTCAGCCTCCTGAGTAGCTGGGATTACAGGCACACGCCACCATGCCCAGCTAATTTTTTGTATTTTTAGTAGAGACGGGGTTTCACCACGTTGACCAGGATGGTCTCGATCTCTTGACCTCGTGATCCACCCGCCTCGGCCTCCCAAAGTGCTGGGATTACAGGCTTGAGCCACCGTGCCTGGCCTAGTGTTTTTATGATAAACAAATGGTCAGCAGCACTGATAAGAGAAGCTTTTCAGAATTCAGAAGCAAAATTGAGTCTTTTTGATGGTTTTAAGACTTCCCCCTGAAAGCACACAGGTTGGACCCCTTCTCTGATTTCTTGAGAACATAGGTTCAAGTCCTCAAGGAAAACTTGTTGAAATCACAGGGTAATTTTTAAACTTTCAGTTACTCACAACAGAAGTCCTAGTCACACAAACAAAATCGTCCCCAAGGCCTCAGTGACCAGAGCAGAGCTGGTCTGTCTGTAGCTGCAGCATCCGAGGGCTGAGGGCTTCCCTGTCAAAGCGTGCTGCATACCAGGGAGCCTCAAGCGCCGAAAAGCACCTGCCATGTGCTGGGAACAGACAGAGCTACTATTCTGGTGGAGCTTAACAATAACTAATGGGACATCACCAACTGTTAAGGGGCATAAAGAAACGCTAAAGGGATGGGGACAGGTGAAGGAGTAGAAACCAGAGTATGGTCAGGGAAATCCTCTGTAGGGACTGTGCACAGTTTTGCAGTGTCCAGTGTGCATGCATTGGTGGCGAGGTTCTCCCTGGTACAATTGCGCTCCAATTTCATACCCAGCAGTAATGTCCACATCAGCATGAGCTATGGGGCCTGTATGTTATTGTCATATGAAAAACCAGCAAGAGGATCTGTCATTTTCTACTCAGCCACTGAATCACTGCCCTGCCTCACACCCATCACCCACCCAACAGGATATAAAGGCCAAGGTCTTCTTTGACTCACCCACCACCCAAGTGAATGAGTCTCCCCTAGAGCTTGGCTACTCAGAGGGGTCTGGAGAGCAGCATGGCCAGAACATGGGCCAACTCTAACATGCACCTGAGCTGCCTGGGGATCTTGTCAAAAGGCAAAAAGTAGGTCTGGAATGGGGCCTGAGAGTCTGCACTTTTAACAAATTCCCAGGGGATGCTGCTGGTCCACAAGCCACGTTTTGAGTTGCAAGCAAAATTCTAAGGTTCCACTTATCTTGGCTTTTGACAGAGGATTTTTCTTCCTCTGTCCTTTGGACATTGATTGGGATCAGGTCTGATGAACTTCAAAAAGGGCGTAAGATCATCTGAGGTTTGACTTCTTGGTCATCAGGTTACCTGCAAACAGCATCACACAGTGCCTTGGGTGGGGTTGCTGCTCTACTGAGCAGCTGAGTCACACCAGATTCTTGGCCAGACACTGAGGCTCCCACCTGGAACCCCAGCTCTTTGGGAGGCTGAGACAGAAGGATTGCTTGAGCCCAGGGGTTCAAGACCAGCCTGGGACACACAGTGAGACCTTGTCTCTAAAATATTTTTTTTTAAGTTAAAAAAAAAAAATTCAACTAGATTTGCTGAGGGTGAAGCCTGGCCACCAGTAGTGTTAGTTGATTCTAATACACACCAGGCTTGAGAATCCCTGCTGGGTAGCCCCATAGCTGACCTCTCTCGAGTAAATAAAGCTCAGCACCTGCTGTTCATCCTGCCCAGGTGTCTTGTTCTCCCAAGTTGCATCACTTTTGCCTCCCCATGGAAATTATGTGGATATTTCCAGCACAAGCACATCCCCCTCACAGGCATCAGGCTCGTATGACCTCCCACTGGAGCCACACCCCCAACGTGGCAAACCTAAACAGCTCCCCACACCCAGAGGATGCTAAAACATTCCAGGTGCTGTGTAGTCTCCCAGCTTTTCCACCTAGTGGGTCAGTCATCCAGGCATCCCTCTCCACATGGAGCCTGCACCATTGCTCTAGGAGATCTGGGAGATGCACAGGAGACTCTGAGCTGACTGTGACTTTGCTGCGACGTTTCCTCTTTTCTGTGCTGTTCCCTCTCCCAAGAAACTTAAAGTGAGAAGCCTCAGGGATGGAGCATTTTTCTCCTGGGGTTTCCCATTGCAAAGCTCAACCCTAGGTCAGGGAGAGGATCCGTGCCTCTGGATGAGGAGATCACTGACATTTATCCCACAATGGAAAGAGAATGAGGGACCCGTGCTGAGTTTGTTCGGGAGAGTAGGAAGTAGATCCCTTTTAAAACTCGAATGTGGGAATTTTGCATAGATTCACTTAAATTCATTACACTACACAAGTTTCCAGACAAGCATTTGCCTGTTTAGAAAACCACTTAACCCAAGTGGAGACAGATGCCCTGAGAAATCTCTGACTTTGTGACTTGGTTGGCGTCGATAGGCTTCCAGGACTGACGACCGTGATCCTGTGACATTCTAGGTGTGACCCCGACAAGAAGCAGAAATGGGGAAGAAACTGGATCTTTCCAAGCTCACTGATGAAGAGGCCCAGCACGTCTTGGAAGTTGTGCAACGAGACTTTGACCTCCGAAGGAAAGAAGAGGAAAGACTAGAGTGAGTGTGCCATGCTGAGCTCATGGAGCCCGGGTCCGTGATGTCCCCCCCAGGGCCATCATCTGGGTGCTCTCCGGGTGGGTAGATGGCTACGTGAAGGGTGAAGACTGGTGGACAGAAAGCCGGGTCTGGGACAGGGTTCTTGTTTCTGGCCTTGGTCTTCTCATTGAGGGGATTTGACTTGCCAAACGGACATTCAGTTGTTCTCTGAATAGTTTTATTTCAAGTTGACCCAGTGTCCGTGGTGATACCTCCTAAGCCAGGTCATGCTTAGCCACATCTTTGAAGAACATAGCAAAAGGTGGTGCATGGGGAAAGTCTCCACCCATTCTGAGACAACCAGATGTTGGAATCAAGACTTTAGGACAGAGGCTGTCCTTCCACCTTCCCTCTCATCAGTGCCAGGCAGCATCCTGTCCTCACCATGGCTGACCCCAGCACCATTTTGTACCACTCCGCCCAGTGACTGGGCTAACACCCACCTTTCCTTGTTCACTCCTCCCTCCACTGCACATCTGCCTCCCCCATCTATCATCTGGGCCCCCTTATCCTTTCTTCATGTCTTTAGTGGATTGGGTCAGGCTGTGAGAAGGAGGCATATGAGGAAAACAGTCAAGCAAAAGCTGAGAGGATGCTCAGGGTGGAGGGTGGAGGGCAGAGGGCAGAGGGTGGAGGGCAGAGAGTGGAGGGCAGAGAGTGGAGGGCAGAGGGTCGAGGGCAGAGAGTGGAGGACAGAGAGTGGAGGGCAGAGAGTGGAGGACAGAGAGTGGAGGGCAGAGAGTGGAGGGCAGAGGGCGGAGGGCAGAGAGTGGAGGGCAGAGAGTGGAGGGCAGAGAGTGGAGGACAGAGGGTAGAGGGCAGAGAGTGGAGGACAGAGAGTGGAGGGCAGAGAGTGGAGGGCAGAGAGTGGAGGGCAGAGGGCGGAGGGCAGAGAGTGGAGGGCAGAGAGTGGAGGACAGAGGGCGGAGGGCAGAGAGTGGAGGGCAGAGAGTGGAGGACTGAGGGCGGAGGGCAGAGAGTGGAGGGCAGAGGGTGGAGGGCAGAGGGTGGAGGGCAGAGGGCGGAGGGCAGAGGGTGGAGGGCAGAGGGCGGAGGGCAGAGAGTGGAGGGCAGAGAGTGGAGGGCAGAGAGTGGAGGGCAGAGAGTGGAGGGCAGAGAGTGGAGGGCAGAGGGCGGAGGGCAGAGAGTGGAGGGCAGAGAGTGGAGGACAGAGGGCGGAGGGCAGAGGGTGGAGGGCAGAGGGTAGAGGGCAGAGAGTGGAGGGCAGAGAGTGGAGGACAGAGGGTGGAGGGCAGAGGGCGGAGGGCAGAGGGTGGAGGGCAGAGGGTGGAGGGCAGAGGGCGGAGGGCAGAGGGTGGAGGGCGGAGGGCAGAGGGTGGAGGGCAGAGGGCGGAGGGCAGAGAGTGGAGGGCAGAGAGTGGAGGACAGAGGGCGGAGGGCAGAGGGTGGAGGGCAGAGACTGGAGGACAGAGGGTGGAGTGCAGAGGGCAGAGGGTGGAGGGCAGAGGGCGGAGGGCAGAGGGTAGAGGGCAGAGAGTGGAGGACAGAGGGTGGAGTGCAGAGGGCAGAGGGTGGAGGGCAGAGGGTGGAGGGCAAAGAGTGGAGGGCAGAAAGTGGAGGGCAGAGGGTGGAGGGCAGAGAGCGGAGGACAGAGGGTGGAGTGCAGAGGGCAGAAGGTGGAGGGCAGAGGGTGGAGGGCAAAGAGTGGAGGGCAGAGAGTGGAGGGCAGAGGGTGGAGGGCAAAGAGTGGAGGGCAGAGAGTGGAGGGCAGAGGGTGGAGGGCAGAGGGCGGAGGGCAGAGAGCGGAGGACAGAGGGTGGAGTGCAGAGGGCAGAAGGTGGAGGGCAGAGGGTGGAGGGCAAAGAGTGGAGGGCAGAGGGTGGAGGGCAAAGAGTGGAGGGCAGAAAGTGGAGGGCAGAGGGTGGAGGGCAGAGAGTAGAAGGTGGAGGGCAGAGGGTAGAAGGTGGAGGGCAGAGGGCAGAGGACCCCTCTGAAAACAGCAGGAGAGAGCCTGGCATGCCCCAAGGAGAGCATAGGCTGGCGAGGCTGGAGTGGAGTGAATGAGGGGGCCAGGAAGAGAGTCTGTTGGAGACATAACGGGTGGGGGACATGGGATTTGGTGCAGGTCACGGGGGTCCTATAGAGCTTTACAGGGCCTCAGCCTTTCTCTGAGTCACCACAGGCCTTTGAGATGAGCAACAGCAAGTCCTGTTCTCTCACGGTTCACGGTGCTGGGCTCTGTGAAGTGGCCAGGTGCACTTTGCAGGCAGAGCCAGCAAGCTTGTCAAGACATCAGATGTGGGGTATCCAGGGTGGGATGGATCAAGGGCAACTTTAAGGCTGTAGCCTGAGCATCTTGAAGGACAGAGATGCGGTCAGCTCTGCTGGGAGGGCACAGATGGAGAGGTTTGGGGGAAATGTTTCAGGCATGTTGAAGTGACATCACGCAGCTATGTCCAGCGGGCGTTGGACACACACTAGCCCAGAGCTCAGAGGAGATGCTTCATAACGGTGACGCTTCACATGGTGAAACCAGATCAATGGTATTTGTATTCGTTTCTAGGGCTGCTGCATATGTGACTTGTACCCTACAGCTTTAGCACAGATTTAGTTTTAGGTTTAAAACATACAGCTGTCCTGCAGGTCAGAGGTCCTAAAGTCAAGGTGTCCTCAGAGCTGCATACCAGCTGGAGGCTCGAGGGAAGACCCATCTCTTGGCCTTTTCCAGGCTCAGAGGCTTCCTGGATTCCTTGGCTCCTGGCCCCTCCTCCACCCTCCGCCTCCAAGGCCATCAGCACAGCGTCTAACAATGTCTCCCTCTCCCTCTGTTTCTCTCTTACCCTCACCCTCTCTCGCCTATGCCTCCATGATCATGTCCCTCTGTCTGACTCTCCTGCCTTCCTCTTTCCCTGTGAGGAGAAATATGGTTACATTAGGGACTTCCCGCATCATCCAGGACCCTCTCCTCTTCTCAGGATCCTTAATATCATTCTATCAGCAAAGTCCCTTTTGCTATGTGAGGTGACATTTTCACAGGTTATTGGGACTAGGACATGAATATCTTGGGGTGGCGGTATTATTCAGCTGACCCCAGCATTTAAACCTGCAGGGCTGCAGGAGACTGCACTACAAGAGAATTTAGATAGAGACCAGCCCCAGGGGACTTCAGCTCAAATATATTGAGGAGAAAAAGCACTAAGAAAGGAGACAGAAGGAGCCGCAGAAGTGGGGTGCTTTGGGCCCCCACACTGAACAGGGTCCATGACAAAGCATTAGGTGAAGCAGGAGCAGTTCGGCCCCACACGGAGCAGGGGCGCCTGTGTTGGTGGAGAGGGGCTGGATCAGAGCCGCCCCACTGTGTGATCCCCCACTCTCCCTCGGCCCTGGACCACCGATCACCCCTGGATTCCACTGTGGCCCGGGTTTCACCACTGGCCTTTGGAGAGGGCCTATCCTGCTAGCCCTGGTAGAGCTAGTACCAGACTGGTGCCCACAGCTGGCTGCAACCAGCTTCTCAAAGCCTGAGCAGGGGCTGCTGACTGGCACACAGCTGACCCCAGGGCTGCCACCCTGTCCCCTCCACTGGCAGGAAGATGCAGTCTCACAGGCCCCGTCCTCACCCTCCTCTCTGTAATCTCAGATCCCCCGTTTCCACATTCTGAAGTCCCTCACCCTCTCTTTCCCATTCATTCTATGTAAACTCAAATGTTCTCTCTCTGTTTAAACCAGAGCAGCAATCCCTGCCTCAGCCTTGGCATTCAGCTGTGCCAAGGGTAGAACCCTGTTCTCATTAATAGAACCTTCTTCCCAGGCAGGTCCTTCCCAGATGGATCCTGCTCTGTCTCCGGGGCAGCCCTGGCTATTGTCAGCCCTTATTTTAAATGGCAACTTGTAACTTCTCATTGCCTATGTATAGATGATGCAGAGAAATGGAAAGGATAGGGGAGCCATGTTTTCCAAGAAGCAGAGGGAGGGAGCCAGTGGAGCCTCAGGGTCCCGGGCAGGCACTGTCTTTCAGGGGCTGTTGAGTGCTCAGCCCTGCTCTGGTCCAGGCTTCTCTGAAGCGGGTTTAGCAGAAACTCCCCTGTGTTTCCTGTCTGTGATTCACCCACTTCTGACACCTGTCTTTCCTTATTTCATGTTCTTCTCACAATTTCACATTGCAAAGAAGGGACACACCTCGATCACCTCTCAGGACTCTTAGGAAAGGACGTCTTTTGTAAGAACAAGGGTTCTGATGACCCCACCTGGTGGGTCGCTGATGGCCAGCTGGTTACAGCCAAGGTCACATGGCTCATTGTGTGCCCGAGGCCGTTTGCTCAGAATGAGCCGGTGGTGGGGGCGTGTAAGTGGCCCACTCTGCTATGTCTTCGTGGCCTATTATGTGATTGGGGATGGGCTTGTTAGATGCCCAGATGCCTTGCTACGGGAAGGGGCCACATGAACGTAGAGTACCATGTTGAAAATGTCAGTGTGCAGAGAGGCAGTGCTATGGAAAGCCTGTGTCAAGGTGCTGTTAGGTCAAGAATACTGCAGCCCAAATGGCATTGCTATGATGGGTCTTACCATGAGAATACATTTCAGCAGGTGATACATTTGAAAGACAAAGAGTCATATAAACCAGTGGCACCCAACGTTTTTGGCACCAGGGACCAGTTTCATAGAAGGCAATTTTTACACAGATGGGTGGGGGGGTGGGGGTAGTGATGGGGATGGTTTCGGGATGAAACTGTTCCACCTCATTCTCATAAGGAGCACGAAGATTAGATCCCTGGCAGGCACAGTTCACAATAGAAACTATAGGCGTTCTATGAGAATCTAATGCTGCTGTTGGCCTGGTGGAGGCGGAGCTCAGGCGGGAATGCTGTCTTACCCAAGGCTCACCTCCTGCCACATGGTCGGGCTCCTCACAGGCCAGGGACCCATGCTGGGCTGCAGCTGGGGGGCTGGGGACCCCAATGTAAACAGTGTGGGGGCAGAGGTCAAGAGGTTTTTGAGTT